TGCTCTCTCCCCTCCACCATGCCAGCCACATGCAGACCCAGACACTTGCAGGCCCAAACTGGAGAACAAAGGGACCTGTGCCATTGCTTTACCTGGTGAGTTCCTCTGGGGCTGGCTGCAGCTTTCTGACAGGCAGGCCCTGCTGCACACTCCTCATCAGCTCAGCTCTTCTCTGTAGTGTTTTGTCAGTGGGAATTCCCAGCAACAGAGTAGAGTGGAGGTTCAGCTTCAGGATATTAGTCATGTGATCACTGAAAAGTACTGATGCAGAATGAGGCTTTTACTTGAACTATCCTCCACAACCACCAGTTAGCTTGATTTGTCCCAGTATTTATAGTTCATCATTACAACTGCCAAAACTGGCAACCACCAGGATTGTTGTCTCAATTAAGGACAGTAAACAGATTGTCCCATTTTTTTTTGTAATGAAAAAATCTAAAATGTAATACTTCACAGTTTAACATGTTTATTCATTTAAACAAGCTAAGAAATAGTGGTGTGACATCTGCTTGAGAGACACTGGTACCTAACATTTTGGCTGTATCTCCACCAATTTGGTTGTGATTAAGGGGGAATAAAAGGAAGAGTAGGGGATTTTGTCAACTAAATGCACTGATGAACAACAACAACAACAAAAATATTCCACTTTGGAAAAGTGTAGAAATACATTTACAAAAGAATGCATAGTAGCAAAATAAGAGGATAAGGGAAAAAGTGTTGTGAAATATCTCCATCAGCTCTTTCAGGGAAAAATACAGTAAGCATAAGATCACAGACAATCTTTCCCAGTTTATTCATCTCATGGCTTCATTTCCCAAAGTGCAGGCACAACCCCTACAAAATCTTTTAAGAAGCAGCTCCAACATCACATTTCTGCTATCTTATTGATATGCCATATTGTTATTTTCTTAGTCACAAGCACCAGTAATTATTATGCTACTGTAAGTAAAACTTGAAATGCAATCAAGATCTGTAATATCCCACTTGTTGGCACTCTTAACTTACCTAGTCTGCATTTCAAGTACAGTCTTTTACTGAGAATTATCCTAAATGCATCTGACCTTCACCAGCTGGCTCAGTTGTAACTCATAGGCACAATCCTGTATCAGAGTAAAATGAATCATCATTCTACCAGGAGCTGCTAGCAACATTTTCCTCCCTGAACGGGCAACATCCAAAACTTGTCCCCAAGTCAGCAGATATGCCTCTTCCATGGTAATAATTTTCATGGAAACTGGATGAGCAGTTTATGTAGTGTTTTCACTGAGCCTTCATTTAGTAGGGTTGCTTAAGAACTGTTAACAAACACAACTTTTAGGTCAATTGCTCTAAGATGACACCTTAGCAAGCAGATGAGTTTGCTCAAGTTGCGGATGTTCACAATTACATGTTGCGGCATAATCTCGCCATCTACATGTTGTCCTCGCTACAGCTGGTCTGATGCATGGAAAGGGCCATGACAGACCCTGAATCCCATGATGTCTATATGATATGCAACAGTGAACTTTAAATAAAGCATTATTCAAGAAAAGTTTAAATATATCTCTAGGGTCTATTAGGGAAATGCTTAACATGCCTCCTAAGCTTCCAGTAAAATACATTTATGGACTTTAGGAAGCAGAGTAAGACTTTCTTGGCAATGTTCATCAGCAGTACTACTAAAACTACTATACTGAGGCGTCTGTCCTAAGATGGCCTACGTGCTGATTCAGTTCTTGTAGGATCAAAGAGAAGGAAAACTACTGAGTAAAATCACTGCTGGAAGACTATCACGCCAAAGACTTTTGCAGATGGGACATGCTCAGACCCACGGCATGAGGATCCAGTATAGACATCTCCTCCACATCCTCTGCAGGAAAGAAATACAGTTTACTCCACCAGCAGAGGGTAACAACAATAATGATATCTACCCTTTCCCCACAGGTGAATCTCCTTGAAAAAAATTGTCCTGTTAAGCCAGGTTTGCTGCATAAATGGTTTGTTCAGCAATCTTTCTTTGAAACAAGCATATAAAAGTATTATTTTTACAATCAAATAAATATCTGAAGTTGATGGAGCTACACAGAACAACTTGTCTGGAGAAAGAGATCTGATTTATTGGGTAGGATGCCAAGGGAAGCCCTCTTTATTGTCTTTTAAGTATTCAGAGGCTACACTTTGTTTTAATATGAACTTAGAGGCTAAAACTGCCTAGAATCATCCAGATATTCTAAAACTAGTAAGTATCACTGCTCATATTTGAACATTGTGCTGTTTACATTGCTTTAAAGTTCTTCCAAATGTATATATAATTCAGTGTGTCCAACATTAGTAAGAGCACCAAAATAGTTAAAATACATTTATTAATAAAATAGACACTGAGCAACTAATACAAAGATAAGTGGTCCAAAACCCAAGAAGTGTATTTCACTCTCAGATATAATTAAGGACAAAACAACCCACATGTTTGCAAGACAAAAATCAGTCTCTAAAATATGAGGCGTAGACAATGTAGCACTCCAGAAAGCAGAAATAACTTGAGGTCAGATTCTGATTTCCCCTTGGAGTAAATCAGAGTTGCAATTTCAGTGAACTCAGGGGAATCATAAATTATCAAACGAATCATGGAATGATTTGAGTTGGAAAGGACCTTAAGATCATCTAGTTCCAAACCCCCTGCCAGGGGCAGGGACACCTTCCACTAGACCAGGTTGCTCAACGTCCTGTCCAACCTGTCCCTGAACACTGCCAGAGGTGAGGCATCCACAGGCTCCTTGGGCTGCCTGTTCCAGTTTCTCACCACTCTCACAGTAAAGTATTTCTTCCCTATGTTAGATACATGAACTTCTCTGTTTAAGTTTGAACCCATTACCCCTTGTCCTATCACTACAGTCCCTAATGAAGAGTCCCTCTTGTCATCCTTATAGGCCCCCTTCAGATACTGGAAGGCTGCTATGAGGTCTCCATGCAGCCTTCTCTTCTCCAGGCTGAACAGCCCCAACTTTCTCAGCCTATCTTCATATGGTAGGTGCTCCAGTCCCCAGATCATCCTCGTGGCCCTCCTCTGGACTTGTTCCAATGGCTTCATATCCTTCTTACGTTAAGGACACTAGAACTGTACACAGTACTCCAAGTGGGGTCTCACGAGAATCAGACCTCATTTCTAACATTGTTGTGCTTGGGCCTTTTAGAAAACCAGCGATGTTTCACTTCATTTCATGTAAAGTGGTGGCCTTTACCTTGAAGAGACTATTGACATAGTCCCATTAGAAATTATTGTCCTAATAAGAGAAAAAGTATATTTGCTGCAATATTAACTGTGCATTTCTATGTACATGGAATAGAAGCCTATCCAGTTTATCAAAGTAAAAGAAAATTTTCTTTTTACATGAGAATATCTTTCATGTCAACAAAAAGGCCTGATCGAAATGAAGCCAACAAACTGCAAACTATGGCACTTGTGGGCAATATGGACTCATAAGTCACAGATCGGGGAAATTGCTTCAGTCACACATATACATGCTTCAGATTTTGTTTATAAGTCATAATTATGGGAAATACAATGTTCCTGTTATAGTAGCTTCATAAATTTGACTGTAAGAATAGCTTGCTTTTTAATCTAACTGATTCAGAAAGCAGGTTAAGAGACAACCTGCATGAAGGGGTAAGTATACATCTTTCTCAGGCCACGTATCACCTGGAGAGCTACATGCAGACATTAAGAAAGCAGTATTTCCAGCATTTCATGGAACAACAATATTGCTCATGCAAAGTAAAGGAGAGGTCTGCAGCTTCTGTGACATGTGGTGTGGCAATGGTGAAGTAAAAAGCATGTCACATCCAAGGAGACAGTTTGTGATATGCTTTTCCGTCCACTGAAAGCCAGGCCATGTGTCAGATAATGCTTCACCATGAATGCAACATGTTACTAAGCATCTGGTCACATGAGCATGTATTAGCAGACAATAAGTCATATGCATGCATAAATGTTAGGATTTGGTGTCTGTAACAGTCATAATTAGAAAATGAGGAATATTTGCACATATATGTTTATGTTTCTCTTTCATATTGTTCTTGGAAGACTCTTGTACTCTGAATTTCTAGAGGAGTTGTTTTGCATTGCATAAAGTGAAGGAGGAGAATGACAGATAAGAAGTGGATCCTTAGAGACTCATAATATATATGGTCATAGTTACCGTATGGTTTAAAAATTAACTGTATTGATCCAAGTTCCTTAAGTGGTGATAATGGAACTGTGTCAGTTTAAAATAAATATATTTTCCATTACAATATCTGCTATGATTTGTATCCCTTTGTTTTCAAAATTACTATAGGAAACCTTAGGCATTTCTGGAACAAGGCAGTAAATACCTCAGTTGCAACTATACCTAACATTCAGCCCTGAAATTGGTGTCAAAGATGAAGCCAACCTAGTTTGCTAATAGAATTCAGAATTATAATTACTTTTCTGGAAGTCAATCTGCCTAACTGCCTTGACACATTCAGCAAAAATGGCTTGATGCTTTTCCTGATATCAAAGTGAAGCCCAACTAGAGAAAGACTGACCACCTTTTTAAAAGGATGAAAACTGAACCTTTACAATGACAAGCTCAGTTATATGGCAAACTCAAAGCAGAACAGGATACAGCCAGAATTTTACATCTCCCTGCAGCGGCTTTGACATACCAACTTCTTCAAGTGGCTTGTGGTTATCAAAGGGATCAGAAATGTTATCTACAGTGCATATTCTGCAAGGTACTTTGCAAGAACTAAAGGATGTTAATCTAGCCAAGACTAGTAGTACTAGAAAAAATCTAGTAGTACTAGATTAGTACTCATGGAAAAAAACAAAACAAAACAAAACAACGAAACAAAAAAACAAAACCAAAAAAGGTTTCTTAATATTTACAACTTCTCACATTAGTTTGATGATTAAAATGATTGTGTAACTGAAATCTTTTTTACAACATCCTCCTAACAGGTAGAACAAGCTGATACCACAACCAGCAGGAACAGTATAATTAATATATGATTTTGACTTTATATTAATAATAGAGCAATACACTAATTAAAACCAACATCGACTGAACTTTCTATTTACACTAGTTCAGACAGCACAGGAGGCAAAGAACTGTATTTCAGAGGCATATGTGAATGTTAGAGCTTCTGTCATCCAGGTGCCATTTCTGACAGAACACATGTGTGCTGAACAGTTGGCAAAAGAATGAAAAAGATTACTGCAGATATATAGGCACACAGAATCTGGGATGACATAAAAATTAAGTCCATATAGGAGGTGACAGACTGCTTCTAAAAAGATATTTTTTCCCTACAATTTCTTCCATCTTCGTAAGCGCGTGTGTGCACACATGCACAAAAAAAGATTAAAAGGGAGAGAAAGGATGAGGGGGATTTTTGGTATATTTTAAATACAAATCAAGACAAGACTTTTTATTTGGCATTTCTGCTTCTTTTGGGAAAGGAAAAGGAAACTAATTTGGCTATTAGGAAGCTTTGATTCCTAAATTTAGTCAAGGCAGACTCTCCTCCTGTGAAGTCAGCATCAATACCCAGGATAATAATAGCACCTGTCTTTTGACATCAAAGTTCTCTGCCTGAGAAAACAAATAACGTAAACAACAAACTTCATGTATTGTAGGGATGCTCCTGGCTTTCCTGTTAACTGAATACACTTGCCTGGCATAAGTGTTCTCTTATTTTGGAGATCTGGAATGTAAAAGTGACTGACTGACGTATTGCAAAACTTTCTTATGAATTTGGACTGCAAGAAATGGTATCATTTACTGTCTCACAGTGAAGGGACTGTGTGTTCCTACGTAGTCTTGGTGAAGCTGAAGAAATCTTGATGATAGATTCATTGCATCTGCTAGTTTTCATCTGGATCCAGATCAAGGTCAACTTCATTGGAAATGTTAAGATAAAAGAAAGCATAGAAAGCCAACAAAAATACCAGTATAGCTGCAAGGACAAGTGCAACTTCCTGTAGGAATAAGAGAAAAAAGTAAAACAAAACGTGTTAGAAACAGTACCATATTTTCAGATAAATCAGGAATATTATTTCCCTTCTATAATGCATATCAAAACAAGATCAGACATATAATTGCACAAGGCATTGATACTTTAATGATTTCTTCTTTGTGATTACCATTTCAGAATGTTAAAATCCATTCACTTAATAAAGATTTTGGCGAGTCTGATACACTGCCAAAAATGGGATGGATGGCTTAAAGACTTAAAAATAGGAGCTTTATATCCTTTTATTATGCTGTTCCTTCTCTTTTAAAAGAAAAGACAGAATCCATAAACCACAGTTTTGAACACAAATTTAAGTTATGAATTTACACTGTGAATTTTGATGTTTTCTAGCAATATGTTACTGCTTTTTGCCAACAAATTTGTAATTTTTTAATGAAGCAAACACAGTATGGTGGAAGTCAACGAAAATTGCTACCTCTACCTCCCAACCTCCTGGCATGCATATATGGAGCTACAAAATCGTTCAGAATTGGATGAAACTTTTCTTCCTCCCTTTGCAATAAGGCAAAAAGCACAACAATATGCACTTGCGCTTGCCTCTCTTCCCATAAAATATTGCAACTTGCTGCATCTTCCGTAATTAACATAAAAGAGTCTTCCAAAGTATACATGATTTATAGCAGCTTTCAGAAGCAGAAAAATGTTTTTGCACTACACGTCATGCTCATTATGTGACTGCCTATCATCATATTCTATCTGAAAGCTGGACTCTGTTAAGCTCCAACTTTAGATCTCAAATAAAATAAATCATAGAATTATCATACTCTTTTTAACATTACTTCTTTCAAAGTGACACTATTTCACATTTCAAAGTTTTTAGTCTCCTGGAAAGCATAGCATACTTCCTATAGTGTTGACTTTCATTTTGCTAGACAATGAAAGAAGAAATACAAATTTGACAAAAATATGTTTCTGGAGCTCTCAGAAAGTGCGACTTCCACAGCTAACACCATGCACTGCTTCATCCTTTATCATCATGATGCATTTCTAAAATCTGAAGTGCTCAAAAGGAACAGGTTAGTTTGTTCCACCCTGAACTCCCAAATCTCAGCTTCATTTTGGCCTACAAACCATCTATATCTGAACAATCCAGCTATAAACTTAAAAGGAGAGAAGAAAAACAGTTCAGTGACTTTACAACAACTAATCTGAATCAGTACAGAAGATACCACATGAAACCAACTCTGCAGTGGGATTGAAACGAGATGCCTACACCATACCTAGACAATTGTACACCCTCTACCATCCAAGGACAGAATCTGACCCTCTTTGGTGCAGAATTTATTGTCCTTTAAAATAGGTCAAGAGAATTCTTCATGATAACGCCTGTTTCTCCCCTTAGACTAGAAGAGGAGTAGAGATGATACCTGTACTGTAGGACGAATTCTATTCAAGATCTCTAGATTGATGGTGGCTTTGTGAGCGATTTTGTGTGTCCACTGCCATGAAGGAGTTAAAACTATGTTGGTTTCATTTTTTTTTAAAGTCTAGCCCATAATCTGGCATTCTTCTATAGAACAGCATTTCATTTGCATTTACATGAATGCATTAACTAGTTCATCAGAATGTTGGATCAATAATTCAACATATGCCATCTAATAAACTTTGAAATACTACTGCCTAGTTGGCGTATGTTCTATAGGAATCTTTGTTCTATAGAAACCTTTGCTTTACATTTTATACAGATGATTAATTGAGATGTACTTTAAATTTATTTTACCACATTAAAATTGTTCCTGTAAATTCGCTGAGGCTGTTTGCTGCAGAATTCAACTACATTTCCCCCTTAGAATTATCATCTTCTGAACCTCATCCTCCTGATTTCATATGATTTGATTAAAAAAAAAAGTACATCTAATTCACTAATATATTAAAGGAAAGTGATTTTTGCTTTGTTGCAGTTGCAACACGTCAGTATCTCACAAAAGGGCATGGCAGCATCAGACAGGTTTCATTTATTTCCTTGTATCCACAGCTGTGCTCCCAGACCCATCTGGCCACGCAGCTACTAATCTTAAGAGGATGTAATAAACAAGTGACATACAACTGCAAGCTCCATCTGCTCAGGAGAGTGGACACAAAACCGTACAATGCAGGCATCGTTCACGCTTGACACAGAGAGCAAATTAATTCCAATATTGAAAAGTTTTTTTCCCTTGTCTGGATGCCATACTTGCCACACTTTGCTTTACAATAGGTTCACCTGTTCTATCCCTTCTTCTCAGCCACACTTCTGAAACACTGTGATTACAGCAGCAAAATTATGGGGAATGTTTGCATCAAAGATTTGTTTTCTAGGAAGCAGAACTGGGAAAATCCTACTTTTCTTCTCAAGCTGCCCAGTAACTGCTTTGACAGGAGTAGTTCCTTTATTCCTATGCCTAAGCTTTACAGTGAATAACACGGAGATAACAATGCTACTTTCCTTGCTCAGGCATTAGGAACTGGGTGTCTGGATCAGTATTTATTAACCCTCAGAATGAAAAGTCTTACTGAAATTCCAGATTTGAGAATTATGCAAGAACCTTAATTTTGAGTTACTAAAAGAGTACCAAAAATCTAAAATAAATGGCCTAACAAAGGAACACCTAGTTCTCAGCTAGTGATAGGCATTCTCTTAAGAATTGCATCCAGTTTATGAACTTTTATAAACATAAATTTTGCAATGTAAATAGCAAATGAGATGCTACACCACCAAACTGTCTTTGCAGGAATAGTCTATATTGTCATTTTAATTTGTTTTCTACTTATCAGGCTTTGCTATTTGTATTTTAAGCCATGCATAGAAATGAAATGTTAAAATACTCCCTGCTCGGCATATATAGCTCCCTTTCTCTTGCATTTTATGGATCATCCCCATCATCCCTCTGTGAAATCCATTTACTCAGAGGATTTCACCATGAATAATTAACCAATATAGAAAAAGTCTTATAGAAATAAACTTAAAATGATCACAGGGCTTATTCTCCTTTTTTCTTTTTTTTAACATGGTACAGAACACTAGGAAATAACATCCCTGCTCTCAAATCCCAAAGAAGTCTTCAAAAGGAACAGAATTTTCTATTATATTCTCTTACATTTAGAATCACATCTGTAGAATCCTACAAATTTCAGCCTGGTTAAGTTTTTGAGCAACTTTTCCATAAAGGAAACATATGCCATAACAGCATAATGTAGATTTAGTTCTTTCATTAGTTCTTTCATTTTTTGACTGTTCTATGTCTCTCATGCCAAAATACTTGGATAATGTCCTCAGATTCACCCTGACCGAGCAAGGTGCAGAGTTGGGTTCTAAACGAGATTAATCAGAAATTGAAAAAATAGCAATGAGGAAAAAAAGTTGGCTATAACAACACAAATCATAGAATCAGAGAATGGTTAGATTTGGAAAGTACCTTAAAGATCATCTAGTTCCTATCTCCCCCACCACAGGCAGAGACATTTTCCACTAGATCAGGTTGCTCAAAACCCTGTCCAACCTGGCCTTAAACACTTTGAGGCAATCCACATCCACAACTTCTAATTCCAGACACTGTGTATGGCACCATCACATCCCATGCATACAGGGAAATGTTACACTTTCAGGAAATTTCAGATTTTTTACATATATTTTTTTTATTGTCCTACAAAGAGAATCATACCTTTTGTATCTGCAAGCAGCTTAAAACTAAGTGAAAGAGTACCACAAATTGCTGTCTTTGAAATGCTAAACTGTCCCTACTGATTTCTGGGGAGATGAAAAGAAAATCATGCTGACCAAGGATACCTGTAGAATTTAAAGAAACATACTTGGACTTCAGAATAATGAACCTTTTCATCCCATATAATTTTTAGCCAAAAGACTTTATCTGGACATTCATCACTTTTTAGAGTTTGAAAACAATTGCATTTAAAAATGGATGCAGAACATTCTACAGCTAATAAGAGGTAACAAAAGTAACTTAGTAACTCATCAGTCATTTTTGTGTTTGGGTTTTTTTTACTGTAAAAATTTCAGATGGAAGAAAGACCATTTCTGTCTCAAGTAATGAGAGCAAGGTACTATTAGAGAGTCACCTAAAAGGCCTGGCTGTATGTTCACAAAGTAACAGGATTCATTTTAATATAGCTAAATGCAAGATAATATATACAGGTATCAAAGATGTAGCTAGTACTTACAAAGTGGAGGACTCTGTTTTGAAAAACAGTGACTCTAGAAAGTTTTTTGGATTTAAGGGGTAACCACTCCCTCAGCACTCTGGATGTGCAAAGGCAGAAGAGCTTCCATTAGGGAGATGAATGCTATTTATTTTATTATAGAGAAGAATGAGAGCTAGTTTGCTTACAGCATATAACTAAGGTGCTTCACAGTGTGGGGTCCTCCTATCTTGTTTACAAGAACCTCTTAAGGTCCAGCTGTGATTAGATAACATCTGTCTTGAAATAAGATGCCATTTCCTAGAAGCAAGAATGATTGAACATTCCAGTTACCTCTTGGGGAAAAAACAGACTTCCATGGCTGGGAGTCTTCTACGGTCAGATCTCTCAAAAAAGTACATTTTGGTTTAGCTTCGACTTGGGTTTGTGTGAAAATGAGTTCCTGGCAACCAGCCTTGGAGTTGGTAAACTCAGCCCTCTAGACTGCTCCCCTCCTTCAGGACACAGGGAAGACTTCAATTACTTACATGGTCAGTGCTGTATTCCAAACCCCTGAAGTACCATATTGTTAAAAGTAAAGGCACCTCATGCTTCAGTGCTTCAGACTTTTCTGTATAGGATAAAAGAAGTTTCCTTATTTTCCAGGAACCTTTCCTCCAATTGTGTTGATTTAATTTCTAGGATTTGAGGTTTTGTTGTTGTCAACTGTTATTTTGAAGTGTTAGAGATTGGTCTCAAGTACACACCAAAGCTGAATAAGATGGACTAGTGCTCTGAGATGGTACAGAAAATCCTCCTAAGCTCCTG